CTAATGAATATAAGATTTATTGATTGTATATATTTGTTGGAATATAAGTAGTGAATATTTTATGTAGATTTATAATTTATCGACTTTCAAAATTGACTTTCTTACACATGAAATTTCATATTATTTAATACTTGTTTCTTATTTATAGATATGCAAATGAACTTAATTCAACAATATTCAAACTTAAATAATTCTAAAAATCATTGCATCGAAACTTGACTTTGTTAGTATTAATAAACATGGAAAATATCAACCAAAATTATTTTCTTCTTATAAAAATATTCACTTTTGAATTGCAAAATATTGTTCTTTTTTGTCACTAATAATAAAATCTGTTAGAAACGAAACAGAAATTTACATTCGAATAGTTTCAACTATTTTTTTTGCAGCATATTATCATTTCAAATTCATAATACCCACCAGCAATCTTCTATGACTCAAACGAAATTTGTTGTGAGTAAAGTGACGAAAAAAAAATGAATTCTTCTTTATTTGCATTTGATTAAATTTTTTCAAAATCAACACTTCGATCATTAAAAATAACAAAGTCAATATATCAATCAATTGATTATGTATTCAACTTTTTTTTCTTTCGATCAAGGTTATTTCCAAAAGCAAAACACTCGCTTCAATAGATATACGTCATCTTAAGATTGTTTGTGACAACGAAATAGTCTCATATAATATACACATAGCATAACAACAATTTTATACATTAAATCAAGAGACATACATGTTTATATTCTAAACGCATCAATAATACTCTCATTTCAAATGTTTTATCTTGAATTTTTATTATTTTTCAACGAAATAAATCCTCTATTACAAAAAGTTATTAGATGATGTCATTCATATATTCATTATAAGAAAAATCCATAGAAATACAAATATTTCAGCAACTAGCAATAACAATTATATCAAATAATGATATTTGACTTTACCTATGTATGTTTTTTTCTACCTGTACAATTGCCAGCATTTATATATAATCAATAAATATATTTACGAGCGATTATTAAGTTGCTTATCATATTATATAAAGAGAAATAATCTTTCAAACATATGTCTATAAGAGAACAGATTAAAAAGAAAAATTCGAACAAATTTCGTTACTTATTTTTCTTTTCGCATTCAAAATAAAATACGTCGAAGTATTGGTTTTTTTTTTCAATGAAATAAAAATAAAAAAAAAAAATGAAATAGATCTCATTTGACAAGTGCATGTAAAAATGAATTAATATTCTTTTCTTCTTTTTCCTATTTTTTTTTTTGTTCACATTATAGAAAATGAATTCGACACTGTCTGATTGGAATATAAAGCCTCATGAATCTTTTGATCGTTTATATCCATATTTTGCATCATCATTTTCTAATGTTCATACACGTGATATACTTTTTATTATTGGTTTAATTACAGTATGTTTACTTTTATTTATATTATTGATACAATTTTTTGTCAAAGTACGTGAAACATATCAAACGAGCCAACCATATAAACAAAATAACAAATCTTATAAATATCAAACAAGATATCCATCTTATCAAGAATTATTAATTACAGATAAGAATCGTTGTGAATGTCTTCAATATTCATGTCTACCAAAATTTCATTGTGTTAAACCAACTTGCCAAGTTGTAAACCAATCAACATATTATGAACAAATAGATGAACGACAAATTAATAATTTTCAATGTCAAGTATATATTCCTAGCAATATATCATGTAGTAAAATTTAGCTGTAAAATAACTTATTTATAGTATATATTTTTATATTTTAATTCTAAAATAGAACTCAATCAGAATTAATCAATTGTTAAGATTCTTGTCTCTTCGTTTTTTTTTTTATGATATATTGTTTGAAAACAAATCGTTTTTTTCCGTTTCATTATATGCATGAATGAAGACAAGAAAATCAATTATTATTTAGGTTTGTTCGTATATATTCTATCATTGTCTTCGAATACAATTGAGAGATAATGATCTCAACAAATAAATGTGTTAGCTCCCTATGGATTACATTGCATGTTTTGGATAGCTGATAGCAAAATAGAAAACTAGCATCTTACTTTTGTTTTTTATTCAATTATATTTTCTCCTTTTCTTTGTTTTATTATTATTTAAGATTTAATATTCTCAACAACACACAGGCTAATGTCTTCGTCTTGTTATTTTGACGGAGTATCAAACCAGTGAGTTCATTGAAAAAAATATAGATAGAAGAAAGCTTTTGAGAAAAGAAAAGGTTTTGTCTTTTTTTTTGTTTTGTATTGTTCTTGGATCATCTAGTGCTTTTCTTGTTGCTGAAATTGACGGTATGCTGAATCAGCCATATCGTTATTGTTCATTGTTGATTCATGTAAAGATCGTTTCCAAAATTTACGATGTGGTGCACGTTTCCAAAATCGGGATTTAGCTGCACGTGCTTTAAGAAGATGTGCTGGATAATATGTATCAAAATAACCCCAATCAGTAGCAGCTGGATAATCATCGCTATCGATTGATGAACTCGATGAAACAGCAATACCAATTAAAACAATTAATAAACATAAAATAGTATTGATCGATATGATACGCATGATTACTAGATTACAATTGAAATAAGAATATTTAAATAAAGAAAAATAAAATAAATACATATATAGTATATGTATATGTATACCTGCTTATTTTATGAAAGATATTGATGTATGAAAATTTTAGATAATCGATTTCTAAAAGAGACTGCGAATGATGATGGAACGAGAAAAAAGGAAGACTTCTATATGAATGTCGCTCGGCGTTTTTTTACTCTCCGTAACTAATCGACTCTGAATTTCTCTTTCTTTTTCTCTTCTTTGTTCGGCGGTTTTTTTTTATTTGTCTCTCCGATCACGTATTTTGAAAGAGATCTTCCTGGCTTTTCTACTCATTGAATAGCAAACACATATGTTTTCCTCAATATATCTACTTATTATATGATTTTGCTTCATCAATCAATATAATTCATTATTTAGTCATATACTAATATGTTGGAATCTTTTTCCTTTTTGTGTGAATATTGATTTCTAATCTGTTCAAGCTAAAACAATTACTTTTTGTCCAGAATATATTTTTTTGTTTTGATCAATTTCCTGTTTGATAATATTAATCATATGTTGATCGTGCATGGAAACATATATGTAACAGTATGCATGACACGTACATTTCGCATATGATCTATATGAACTCATTAATGGTTATTATTAGAATAAGCTAATAAGAGTGAAAAAAAAGGTAATGAGGGAAAAATCAAGAACTTAAGAGCATTTACTATTTGACATCAAACGATATAAAAATCGGGCAACTTTCTTTTCCGATCTTGTCAATCAAAAGAAAACAAATGAAAAAACTTATTGACATATTTTCTTAACGTCCATTTTAATATGTTAGAATTAGCAAACAAAAATACAGAAATACTTTATATTTTGAAGTAGATGATTGATATTTTTCTTCTTTTTTTTTTCTTATCTCTTTGAAATACTTTTGTCGGAATGTATCAATCTATAGGTTTAATCATATTCTATAGTTATTTTTAGTAGGAAACGATTGAAAGTTTTGGAAATGATTCGAATCCATATATAATCTGTATTCAAGAAGCTGATCATAGATAGATAAGTTTATTACTGGAGATAAGAACTGATTTTATTTATAACGATATTTTTTAATCATATTCTTGTCACTATTCATTATTTAGATAAAAGCTAAAAGCTTTTTTTTTTTGATAAAACTCATTTAAAGAGACAATATAACCAAAAGAAAGGCATTCAATCAAGAGTCTAACAGCAACGTATTATATAGAATTAGTACTTAGTAGAAAAAGCCTTGGAAAAGATTTTATCAGTTCAAGACATGAACAATAAGGATTTCAATATAAATGTGATTCGAATACATGTTGATAAATAAGCTGAAGATTTGAACTTATCATAACTTCATATCTACGAGTAAATAATATTATTTTCATTCAGCATCTTTTGAATAAGATGAAAATTTTGTCTGTAATGTTTTTGTTCTATGAATTTCTCAAACGATAAATTTTTTTATTTTGATTTATAAAAATTTAGTAAATATTAGAATATATTATGTGAGACAAACAGTTCTTAAGTATCTATGAACAAAAATCAATATTTTGTTATGAAAAAATTTAGAATTATTTTCGAAGTTTATCAAATAGAATTTTTAATTGATCGTTTATCACATTGTTATCAATTGCTTTCAATAATTCCTATAAGAGATATTGTGCTTTATGAATATTTGTTGTCTTTTATGGTTTTTTCCTACTATTGTATATCATTCTTCAAGTACAAAACAAAACTACCGACGATGTGATGAACATATAATTAGAAATGATTTCTTTTTATGATAAATTGAAAATTTGCATTAATTCTATTGTAATTTGATATAGATTCAGATAGATTAGATTTCATTCAGATTTTTTATGAAATCTTATTGATGCTACAGAAAAATTAACTGGGCACTTTATACGTTTGATGTTCAAAACAGAGATGGATTCAATATTGGTCACTAATATGTTTTATTAATTTGTTTTTTCTCTTAGTATCTTATACAAGACGTGTAATGAAACTTTATTAAAAGTTGACTATGTCAAATATCATGCTCCATAGATAAAACAATACAAAAACTCGTCAGTCTAGTGTTGGTATAGATTTCAAACCACCCACCCGGTCTGATCTACTCAGAATGGTACTGATCTTGAAAAATCCAAGCTGATTCTATCTTTGTTTCAATACAGAGTTACTCTTATTCCGTCAATGCTAAACGATATATTCCAATGTTTTACAGAAACGGTTTAAAATATACCAACTAACATGATTGCGCACAATTTAGTTTAACGTTCATAGAATATTGAGTATACATTTTGAAAAAAAAAAACTTTTCTTATTAAATTAATAACGCTGTTTCATGACTATGGAAATGACATATTAATACCAATAAATAATGGTCATGAAAAAAAAACGTAGAACAAATTTAAGGAAGACATCAAGCATTAGTTTTATTCTGCATTATCGTATTGATTCTTTAGATGAACAACTACTTGAATCAATGTTTGAGCAACTGATTGATCTATTATTTTATTTTGTTCCAACAAACATCAATGTTGTTTCCGCGACACTTGCTCTCATGATAATATTTCCTCTCGTGACATTGAGGGAGCTAAGGGTGAAGCAAAGGAGTATGTAAGGTTTAGGACTATATTTACATCTAATTCCAGTATGCTTCTCATTGTTATTTAATTGCTACCAGTTCTAATATAATGCTGTTGGAGAGAAAATGTCTCGAGGGCAACTGTCATAGATGTTTTATTCAGAATCAATATATGTTCTATGATCGATACAAGCTGTTGACAAGTCATGCTATTTTTTGTTCTTTAGGTTCAATTGATTCAACTTTTATATCATGTTCGAATGCTTGTGTTTCATCATGTTAAGTATAACATAAGAAAGCGTGTCTCAAGACAATAAACATTAGGAGGATATATGACTACAGCAAGTTTAATAGAAGTATTTATGGAAACGCATATTCGACGATTATTAATGTTATTAAAATGATGGTTGTAATAGACTAACAATAAAAAGATCAAAACAAATATATGGTGAATTCCGTTTTACTAAAACTTTTGTATTTTGAGAATATCTTTTAATAAATGTTTGATCGCATGATAATTGTGAACTAACTGTAAAAGTAGAATTATAAATTGTCATCTTACGACATAGATTAATAGTTTCATCTATATTACAAATTACTTGATCAAGTAATAATAAAATTTGTCGTAGTTTATTCAGTGTTAATGAATGATTATGAAAATATTTTAATGATTACATTAAGTCAATTTCGCCTAAACCTGTATGCATATTTTGAATGAATTTTTTACTATTTATTCTTGGATATTCATCAGTGATTACTTTATTAAATAACAAATGGAATGTTGAATCGAGACGAATTACGTTGAATTAACAGTTAACAGAAAGAGTTTAAAAAATAATAATAAAATGTGACACACTAGTTCAATTTTATCGTTATCATTTATTGATTTACTAGAAAAATTGATTCATTATAAATTCTATGTTGATCATTTTCATTATTAACAATATCCGTTAGAAACCTATTGATAATAGTTCGTAATTCAACAGTTAAAAAATGTATCACATATATGAGAAATACTCTCAATTATAGTTGACGGATTAATGGAGATATTTGAAATGTTTCATATGAATATTTGATATTTTTTATTCGCCTACCTATAATACCCGGCATTTGAATGTCATAAACAAGAAACATAAGAAGTTTTATTAACTATTATTTCAGAATTAAAGTCATTTATATATATATGATACTTGTTCTATATATAGTTTAGTTCATTATTACTTAAATAAGAATTATAACAAGATGCAACATTTATTGAAATAATAAATCGTATAATATTTGCTTTTGAACTAATTCAAGTTTAATAACCAAATTTAATTCTATTTGATATAGACTATTTAGTTTAAGACTAAATCTTTTAATGTAAAATTAAATTTAAGATACTGAAAATAAACACATCTTTCTGACTTGGTAATATGTATTCTATGTATATTTCTTATTTAATCAACTTATTCGAACAGATTAGTTTGATAATCTTGCTTTTTTGTCTGTTAATATAGTTGTCGAGCTTAACTTTTTCCTCAGAGCTCAGCATGAATTTCATGTTCAATATCGATACGAACAATAAATAAATAGTTGCGTTTTATTCGATTAGAAAATTATTCAAAGAAATAGTTGTCTTTCATGAATATAAGAGAGACAATACCTACTGATTAGAGCTGTACGAGACTAAAATTTCAAGCTTTGCCGAGATCAAGGTGAAAAGACAATCTTGAGACCAACCGAAATTACGAGAAAGAAAAGCTACCAAAACCAAGACTGGAGCCACGAGAAAGGCAAGTGGCTAAAACCGAAGTCAGGACTACCAATAAAAAGTTGTCCCAGCTGGCACTGAAGATTATAGTGAAATATTCTATGGTTGTAAGCGAATTATCTTATAAATCATATCAATCAGAATAAAATTCTCGAGAGATGGCTTAAATAAGTGTTAGTCGTCAACTGCATAAATATAAAAAATAAGTCTTGAAGAATATTTTTAGATGTGGTAAAAATAAATTCTAGAATAGTTTTCTCTAGATCGGGACCGGAACTAAAAAAAAACGTCTCCCAGCGCACTCCTATTAAAGATATATTAATTCAATATTATTTGGATTACTATTAGAAAATGTATGGCTCAATAAACCATCAGTTGAAAAACATTCGTTGGTTACCTTGTGAAGCATCCCAGAAATTGAATTCTTTTATCGAATAAAGTAAATTTTTTATACTGATAAAATTAATTCTGGATTGCATTTAAACTTTTCTGAATAGATGAGACATTTACAAACACATGATTCATTTTTGAAATTATGTAAAACGAGAAATTTGTATGAAATCAGATTATCTTTATTGCTATATGACAAATGAATGTAGTTATATTTAATTGTCAATAATGGATTCACATTAGACGAATCAT